AAATCCATTGTTATTCTGTGAATCCTATGATTTCTCCCCTCAACTCCTGTTTCATCTTTTTTATTTTATTTTATTTTATTTTATTTTATTTTATTTATTTATTTATTTATTTATTTGTGTGTGTGTGTGTGTGTGTGTGTGTGTGTGACCGGTAAGGCGATTGTAACCCTTGGCTTGGTGTTGCCCACACCGCGCTCAGCCAGTGAGCGCACCGGCCATCCCTATATAGGATCCAAACCCGTGGCCTCGGCGCTCCCAGCCAAGTGAGCCATGGGGCTTATTTTAAAGTATGTACATCATTCATGTGAAAATGAATGAAGACTGAGGTGGTTTTCTTTTAATGGTACATTTAACAAAGAATAGAGACTGGGTGGATTTTTTCTTCCAATGAACATACACTGACACACTACAAGATTAGCATAACTTTGAGAGACCCTTAAAAAATAACAGAGAGTAATGCAATCCTTGGAAACTCAATGTAAACTTATTAAAAATAATTAAAAGGAGCTTGTCCTGTACCATTCGGTCACCTTGCTCAATAGAACCTAAATTATATCATCAATAAGTAAGGCAAGTATGTCTGAGATGCATACCGTCATACGAAACATTCATCTATAAGTAGCCATATCTTTGTTGACTTTATTGAGCTAAAAATGGTCCAATTAATCATTTCAGTTGCTTGTTCTAAAATCAGTAATTAGAAATCGCATAATGTTATGCATACTATGCATAAGGAGGGAAAAACAAGAAGAGTTTAGCTTCTGAAATTATAGGTGATTCGTCACTTGGACTGGTCACACATAATTTATGTAAGGTTGGTATGGGTATGCCAGAACCCTGTGAAGATGGAATGTGGTGATCTTGTGACAAAAACGACAAATCAATGAGTCAAAAACATGACTAACTTAATAAGGGCAGAAACTCTTAGTAGACAAGTAAATACCAAACGGATTAGAGAATCTTAGTGAAAAAGGGGTGTCATAAACAAAAATAAGGATAGGAAGCCTTCCTGTTGGACCAACACCCATTGGGGAGGGTATATAAAAGCCCAAAAGCAAGAGAAGATGTGTGTTTCACAAACCTCATCTTTCTAAGAAACCAAAGGCAAACCAGATTCCCATCACCATGACTTGCTGTGTTCCCCGCTGCTGCAGTGTCCCCACCGGCCCTGCCACCACCATCTGCTCCTCTGACAAATGCTGCCGGTGTGGAGTCTGCTTGCCCAGCACCTGCCCACACACGGTGTATTTGCTGGAGCCAACTTGCTGCGACAACTGTCCCCCACCCTGCCATATTCCTCAGCCCTGCGTGCCCACCTGCTTCCTGCTCAACTCCTGCCAGCCAACCCCATGCCTGGAAAACATCAACCTCTCAATCTACACCCAGCCTTGCTGTGAGCCCTGCGTCCCAAGCTGCTGCTGATCAGTGACTGCTTTGCTCAGTGCTCGACAATGGGGAATCAAAAACTGTCTATATAGTATTCACTTGCCTTAATAGTGTATCAGATGTTAAGGTAGACCAGATGTCCTAGAAATGGAAAACCTACTTTTAAAAGAAAGGAGATGAAGAAAAATTTTTTAAGATTATTTGGCTGAACAGCCATTAGGTTCATTTGGGCAGGTGAATGCTTTCTATTACCAAAATACTATTGGAATCCTTAAGACCCCAAACTACAGTTTCTTGGATATGTTGCTTTCTGGATCTTATTTCTTGTATTGAGTATTTTCATAGAGGCCAAAGAATTTCTTGATGGGTTTTCCAATAAACTTTATTTCTCTGGCAAGATGTGTTCTTTACTTATGTTAGACTTTTTTTGGTATATTTCTTCCATTTTTATAAATGTAAAGATAAGATGATTGATTTAATTTTTAAAAAATAATCTGTTAGAGGAACCACTGGAACTAGCTTAGTAATATGTCTTGCCAAATTTTAGTTGGTTTTCTTTTATGTTCACCATCTCTTCTCTCCTCTTCCTCAGACAAATACAATTTTGGGGTGAGCCAACATTTATTTACCTACTCTTTGCTAGGTGAATCACATGGATTAATTCATTTAATCCTTAAAAGTGCATTAATAGATGGGAAAAAATGAAGCTTTACAAGTTATTTAACATTCTCAAAGTCATAAAGTTAGTTACTAAGAAAACCAGAATTCAACTCTTTGTGTGTCTGACTCTGAAGCCCAGTTCTTTCTACCACATCACAGAGCCTCCATAACTAATAGAGCCAAAAGCTTAATTAACTAAAATATGCGAGAGAAATAAAAAGTGTAAGATTCTTCAATAAAATCATCACATCCGATTATAATAGAAAAAGGGTATATTGGCTCATAGATTAAAATTGACAGGTATTTAATTCTAAGATCTGGGTCATTTAGTAGGCCTGCCAATTTCTACTTAATTTTCCCTTAGAGAGAACTTGAAATGGCCAACTCTAGTAGCAGAGCACTAGAAACATATCTCTATTTGCCACTATATTCAGCACAGAAGTTCTACCAATGAAATGCCAATACTTTTCGGGTGACAGGTTGAGAGCTATAACTAAAACACTGATTAAATATGGTTTAATCCATTACTTAATTTTACCAACCTACTTAATTTTATCTCATGCAGATTACCCTTTTCCAAGCCTAGAGAGAATATTTATATACACATATATGTGTGT